AAATATTATTTTATAAATCGGCATATGCCGAATTATTGCCGAGTGGTATTATGCCAAATAATTGCTGAATAATATTATGCCGAATGTTGTATTCGAATGTTTGATGAGTGGCAGCATACCGAATGGCACTATTTTGACTAATGTAATATTGATAGTTTTTAGAAGAAGAAAATATAAAAACAAAGTTAAGAAGAAGGACTGCCATGGGTTTTCCCCATGCAACTAAAGAACAAACAAGATTTTCAAACTTGCTTGACCTTTGATCAAAAATTTTATTTCAATGTAACAGTAATTCTTAAAATTCTTATATTCTTAAGCTTATAATATAGTTGATATATAAAAAAGAAAATGAGAAGTACTGCTTCAAAAAAAATTATTATAAAAGGAAATTTTCAAAGAATCAGTGGTGAATGGGTAAGAGTTTTTTTTTTTTGTTAATTTATAAATTTGTACTGTATTTATAAAAAAAAAATATTTTTTTAGATGTTTTAAATAAAAATTAAAAATTTCGAATTACTATATTTACTCTCACGTGATCAGACGGATCTTTATAACAAATTCGAGAGATAATAAACAAACGCGTAATTATACGTGCAAATGTCGACTTCACAAGTTAATAAAAATGCCGAGAAACATGTCAAATTTACCGAATGGAATCCAGATGCTTTCGCAAAAACTTGCAATAGTAACGAAAACATGATTTCTGAAGGTGGTAGAAGTTCCCCAACATTATCTGTATCTACGACAACTTCTACAAACACTGAACAACAACGAAAGAAGAAAAAAACCCGTGAAGTTAAAGCACGGTATCTTACCAATAACATGAATGCTAGAAACGTTGGGTCAAAAACAGCAGAAAGGTACGATAAAGAGAAAAAAGGTGTTTCAAAATCCATTACATGCGCTAGCAAAAATAAGCAACAAAATACGATAAGAAAACCAATTGTTAGACCCATCGGCTCAATAATCAATAGAACGAAAGGAAATCTTGCTCATAAACAAAAAGTTGAGGCGTTAAAGTGCGCAAGCCAAAATATCGCATTTTTGAACTATCAGGAGGATAAAAAACTAGGAGACAACATTTTAAAAGAACTTATGCCTCCGGTAGGGCAAACAAGTAATAAAGTTAAGCTATCAGTAGGTGATCAATCAGGGATTAGCTTAGATGATGAGCTGACAATGTTAAATGCTCGATTGATGCAATGGTGTCTCTTGAATGCAAAAGCCGAGTACGCATTTGATTGTCAGAAACGAGGTGTTGAGACGCAATTATTGAATGCGTGGAATTTGCTTACGAAGAAGCAGGAAGAAATGTCAAATGCTTGGCGAAAATTTACTTTGGAAAAAGAAATTGCAATATTAGATGAAACTTTGAAATCACAATTCAATATATTGCAGCAAGTTAGTCAATACTTAGAACATTTCAGTACTCATTACATTGCGTTCGCCTCTTCTTTGGCCAGTACTGCTGCTGCAATGCCAATTACTAATGTATTGGCAGGAGGATTAGGACATTTAACAGAAGAGATTAACCTTTGTTCGAATGATTTAAATGGAATGTTGCAAAGGTGGGAAACGGAATCACCCGTGATACGAAATATTGCCAATTCAATGTACAAACTTTGTGTCAATATCAAGGAAGAAATTCAAGAATTGAGCGAATGTAACTCCCTCTTGTTTGAAATTTCTGAAGCAGAAACCATCGAGTCTAGTTTAAGGATACAAAAAATTGAGACTTTGAGTGACCAGAATAATGCGCGCACCAGTCCCTTTGATTGACTTTAGCTGGTGTTTGTAATAGGGGTGATCTTTGAGATTGAACAACTATGTGCACGAAAACGAACTGAATTTTTCAAAAAACAAAAAAAAAAAGTCTCTCCTTTTCAGATCATTGATACGCAAAAGACAAGTTAAATCAGCTTGTTTATTATAAATAATAAAAAAGTTGAGTTTTGCTTGCTTTAGAATGTTTATTTTTAATTGATGCAATATTTAAATAAAAAAAAATTAACGTAGGTAATTCAATTCTATTAGTTATACTGTATATAATATTTTATGATATATTAGTTTAATAATAAAATAAATATTAATATTAATTATGTTAAAATATATTAATTATTAAATAAGTATTAATTTATTTAAAAATTATTTATATGAATAATTATTTTTGAAGACAACAAAAATGCTAGATATGATTTTTTCGGATCCTACTTTTAATCAATACACACATAATGTAAATTTTAGGATCGCAATTGTAGTACCAGAAAATTTCCGGTCCGCCTTCGAAAATAATTACCCATATAATGTATTGCAAAGCTTTTTTGGAATTTTATTTATTTATTATTGAAAACTACTGTATAAAATTAGTAAAAAAATAGTTGAATTTATAAATTACTATGGTGACTATCATTTATAAACCGCACAAAAATTATGTGATTTTCAAACTTTATAAGTTAAGAACAAATAAACTTATTGTAAATCTAAACTGATAAAATAATAAATTAAAACAAACTAAACATTTTATTGATATATTTTTATAAAATGTTATGTAAAATTTTAGGTTATTATGATTTAAAATTCAATGAATCCTATATAATATACTGTATATAAAAAAAAAAACAAATTTCAAACTAGAGATCAGTAATTTTTATATGAAATTTAGATATATTTTTATATGATAATCATTATTTGTTTTGTTTTTTTGATTTTTTTGATTTATTTTTTTATAGTAAAATGAATATTAGATACTAATCATTTATTAATATATATATGATATCACAATTACATTAAACATCATCTATAATATTAAACTATAGTTAAATACTAATCTATCCTACTTTATTGCCCAGTGATACTAGTAATACTCTTGAAGTAGGTTTATATTCTTAGAAGAGATCTATCTAAGGAATGAAAAACTACTACTAGTTTTAAATTATCTAATCTACTGGTCTGATTTTTGTATAAAAACAATATATACTGCTAATTATTTCCTAAGTTACTTATTATATTATATCTTTTTGCTCACATGTTATATGGCAGAGAAGTCAATAACATAATATATATACTTCCTAATAAATGCTCTGATTTTGACTACTAGTTGGTTTTAAGTTATCAAATCTAAGAGCTCTTATGGTTAAGTGGGATACGACTCCTTAAAGATCCTATAATTCTTAATCTTCTAGTAAACATTCCAATTTCAGATTTGATTGGCTTAGGTTGTCAAATCTAAAAGTATAAATATCAAGTAAGATATAACTTCTACATGCATAAATTATCTAGGAAGAATCATATTGCACAAGATGTTAGTATTAGTTTAGTGTACTTCTTTAAAGCATCTTTATTCAATAGTTAACAGTAAAAGAATCAGTGGTTTGGGATTGGTTAAGATAAAGTACAGTCCAATATGCATATCCAAATATGTAATTGGTTTTATAGCTTCTTTCATTAGATAATTATTATAATATCATCCAGATGATTATTATATTACTATACCTTAACAAGAAGGTTACAATCTCAATGCCTGCTGAATCAGCATATGAAATGATTTTTTATAAGAAACAGTATATAACTGATTATGGTATCAGATACCATATTAATTCTATTCAATTGTTTTCACATGGAATTAAACTGATATCTTGTGATTTGACCTATAAAATATTAATCACTATACTATAAATCCACAGGTTTGTTTAATTTTTTTAATAATTTAATTGAAAATATTATTATATATCAATGATCCATTCTATACATGTATTCATATTACTATAAAAAAAAATTTGATTGACAATACAATTGTGAATTAAATATGAATTTTAATTATTTATTATATATTACTTAATAATTCTACTATAATATAGTTTTTGAAAAATAGTTAAATTTAATTCCATTATATATATAATCCATTTATTAAAAAAAAAAATTAATATTAAAGAACAAAAATAAGATAATAATAAAGATTTGTAAAAAAACAAACTATTAATAATTGAAGAGATAATAATAATAATAGTTGAATAATAATAGTAAAAAAAATATTGAATTGGTTTGATTAAATGATACATATTTAGAAAAAAAAAATATTGATCTTATTTTATAGAAAAAATAAAAAAACTAACTTATTTTGACAAATATGGATCCAGTAACTCTTTTATAAAAGCAACTAAAGGAACCAAAATAATAAAATATTTTTAATTAAAAATTCAATTCCAGATAACTTTGATGAAATTTTAGATGAATTCGAAAATAATAAATAAAATAATCAATATAATTTGAATAAAAAAATTGAAATTTTTTTAAAAAAAACTTAAAAATAGTAAACAGAGTTAACAATTGTTAAATATAAAAAAAAAAAACAGTTTTTGAATATTTAAATAAATTAAATAATAATGATAAAAAAACAAAAGACAGTATAGAAGCTATACAATTGATTTTTATTAAAAGCATATTATATAGAACAAGATCTATTTAATATTGGATCAATTATTAGTTTCAATATAACTATTTATCAATAAATTATCAAAATAAATATCAAAAAACTATATAATTAATAGATGATAAAAATATAATAAAAAAATATTATATATGGATTCAATCTTAAAAAAAATGATTATATTATTAAAATTCAAAGAATTTGTTAAATAGAAGCTTCTTGTAAATTCAGAAATATTATAAAAAAAACATTATTGATATTGCAATTGCAATATATTGGTTTAATATACTTGAATATTTTTTTCAATTATAAAAGCAAAATATAGAATAAATTTATTATTAAACAATAAAAATTTTATTAAATTACTTTTATATTATAATAAATAAATAGATATTATTATTATTTTTTTTTTCAACTAGCCAGGTCTTGCCTAACATACTTTATTTAGTTTACATTTGTATTTCTTGTACAAGAACTACTATCTATAAACTACTCTAGATGCATATTAA